TCTGATGGTACATTCATAATTTGAGGAGCTTAAAACAAAAAAAAGTACTGGGGTCCTACTTGCAGGTTTAAACAAGTGTGGGACATAAGAATTTTTTAAAAGATAATTCTTGAATGCCAGCCAGCACTGAGAATCACTTTTCTCAAAGTTTTGCTGTTGCAGTAGACCAGTTCCAGGTATTGATTTAAGGCAAGGCATGACTGCCTAGGTGCAGTGATTTCCAGGACATGCAGAGGATTCCAGGAACATGGAGCACCAGGTTTATTTTCCCCTTCACCAGTCCTCTGCAAGATCCCATCAGAATCCTACCTTCTATAGTCCACAGCAGGCACGATAGCCATCAGTGCTTAAGTGCGCTGCTACTATGAGGTCTCATCTAATTCTTGGAACACATTATGGGGTAGGTCTAACTGTCACTCACGTTGTACTAATGCAGAAACCAAGGTTCAGACCCATTCTTCAACTTACTCATGCTAGTAAGTGGTGGGTGGGATTCTCACCCAGGCTGGCTGGTTCTAGAGCCACACACTGAACCACAATGCTATACTGCGTGATATGGATAAATGCTGTACTCTTCCCCATATTGTATGTACATTTTAGTAGGGCCTTTCTGGAGATAGTGCTTTAGCTCAGGATAAAGGATCCTTGTGCTTAGATTTCATGAACAGCCACAGGCTGGTTGAGGGAGAGGTCTCTGGGCAGATGAGGGTCTTGGCACCCAGCAAATCAGTTACCAAATCAAACCACAAAGAGTGCTGGTTCCCAGACTCTTTCACACTGGGTGCATCCAGGGAGCTTTAGAGAACTCTAGCTGGCTCCCACTTGCAGAGATTAATGTAATTGGTCTGAGGAGTTGCCTGGCATGGGAAGCTTTAACAGCTCCCAAGTGATTTTAATGTGCAGCCAGGGCTGAGCTCTGTTGCTGTAGGCAGCCAGCCCCTCCAGCTGTGTATTCAGAAACCGCCTCTGCCGGCCCAGCAGAAGTAGAAGACATGAATGGGCCCTGGAGGCTAGCTCTTGGTGCTAATGCATCTTATTTCTCAGAGACCTCTGCTTTCTCCAGTTAATACACAGGGCTCTTCCCAAAAGAAAAATCAAGTTTTTCTTTGATAAGTAGGTCAGTTAATTTATTCACTTTGGTATGATGGAATTAAGCATTGCTAAAACAAATTGACTAGTACTGTAATGGGGTTATGTGAGTGAGCGTGTCTTTTGACAATCCTCTCCCAGGAAAGCTGGCAGAGGTCGGATTTGTTTGAAAGAATTCCTTGAAGGTGAGAAGAAACATAGGCAACACGGAACCTTTGTTCTACAAAGTTTCTGTTGAACTCACAGAAGTGGTGGCTTATTGCTTTCCCACAGATGAGAAATGAGAAACCCATGCCAGGACAGAGTGTACAGGATGCTGTTTGCATCGTCTGCAACCAAAGTAGCTCTTACAGAATTGAGGTGAAATTCACCTAACATAAAATTACTTAAAGTGAACAATTCAGTGGCATTTAGTACACTCCCAGTGTTGTACGACCACCACCTCTGTGTAGTTACAAAACATTTTTGATCATTCTCAAGGAACCCTTCCCTCCAAATCCTTCCCATCACCACAGTTCATATCCTGTCTTCCTAAAGTCTTTGCTGGCATCTGCAGTGCTTGTCTCTCCCTTCTTCATTTCCATGTCTGTTCTCTTGGCATTGATCATGTCCGCCTTCTACTGGAATAGAGGCAGTGGATCTTCCTTGGGTGGGTAGGTCTGGGGAGGGAATGGTGGGAGCTGTTTGCTAGGTTAGCATGTGAAGTGAAACGTGATTATAGTTAAAATTGTCCTTGGGAGTTGGATCAATTGCTCCTCAAGTGTGGTATGTGTGATGTTTGGTAAACAGCTCTGCTCAGTAATTTGTAGATGCTCTAAGCTGAGGATCCATGAAGTAGGATAAAGGTGGAGGCTGGAAGCTGAGGGGAGGTCTGCCTGCAGGTGTCACTCATCCTGTACCACCAACACTGCAAGGTTTACTTCATTCTGGTTTAGCAAAGAGCTGTTGTAATCAAAACATGTCCACATGTGTGTCTTTATTGTAGAGATGGAGAAAACATGACAACATCTAGCACAGAACGGGCACTAAGTAGGTGCTCAAATGTTTACTGAATTTGAATCTATCTTGCATGATCAGATCTGTAATACACACTATCCTCTTAAGTTACAGGAGAACTTGGCCGCCTATTTCCTGGATATGGTTGACTTTTGTTGCACTCCCTTCTCTTGTCTTGCTAGCCCCAACCCAATAGCTGTTACTCTCCTTAGCAATTGGTCACATCACCCCTTAGGGTATATTTTTGTGTGGATTAGCTAGCCAACCAGATTCTGTGTTCCTTTAGATCAAAGTATATAGAGATCTCCATGTTTGAACTTGATTACATGGTGTTCATCACAGTATGCTTCATGTATAAACCAGATGCTCCATAAATGCACCTTCTGCATAATGACTCCTGTCTCAGCAAACATCGAGCATCTGCTGTGTGCCAGGTATACAGGAATGCCCAATAGTGTGTTTGAAAGATCTTGAAATAATGAGATGAAGCCAACATGACAGAAATGACTGAAAACCATCTAAAAAGTTAACCATAGAAGGATTGATTGCAATAGCTCAAAGTTGGGAAGGGCTAACTCTGTAGGACACAGGGACAGTAGGATTCAGTGAGAAGATGATGCTGGAAGTTGGAGTCCACATGGGTAAGTGAGGGAAGGAGGGCATTCTGGGCTGAGGAAACAGGATGGGCAGAGGTGTAGAGGGCAGGAGACCTTTTCTGCAAAGGACCAGATAGTAAGTATTTTAGGCTTTCAGACCACAGGAGCCACAGACAGTATATGAATGGAATGTGTGGTTGTGTTTTAGTAAAATTTTATGGAGACCAAAATTTGACTTAGAACTTTCATGTTCTGTAAATATCATACTTTTGATTTTTTTTCCAGCCACCTAAACATTTAGATCATTCTTAACTCATGGGCTGTTCAAAACAAGTTGGCTACCATATTGGGTCCAGGGCTATAATTTGCTGATCTGTGTACAAAGGCAGGGAAGTGCGAGATCACACTGCAGGAACAGAACAGCAAGGACCTAGGTCTGCGCCTTTTCATGGGTGGACATGGGTGCCGGCTGAGAAGCTGCATTTCTGATGAGCTCCTAGGTAACAGGCTGAAGGCCTTCACTGGAATAGCAATGAGCTAAAGGTCCCCCCACGCCCCTGAGGCTGTGATGGGACCTGTGTATATAGGAAAATGCAGAAGACAGTTTTGTCTGCCAGGTGTTTTCAATCTATTCAGAGAAGCAAATAGAAGGATAAATGGACACTCCCAGAGCAAAAATTAAATAGAGGTAGAGCCAAGCAGTAAGATTCCCCAATGCAGGTGCAGTGAACTGTTCATTGAGGGGTACGAGGAGAGCAGGGTTAAGGCCGGACAAGTCCCCAGGTGAGCTGGGACTTGTCTCCTTAACTTCCAGGATGCTGCATAGCTTGGTGATGTCCACACACCGCTTTGCTCAGTTCCCGGTGGGATTTCCCCATTCTTCTATTTGTTGCTATGCTATCTTGAGCCATTCTGGACATTGTTTACAGTGAGTGGAGACTTTGTTTTAAATAAAATTTCTTGGGTGTGCTCTGCTCTCTCTGACTTAAGGGAAGCCCCAGGAGCATAACTCAGAGGGACAGAAGCTGTAGTGAGAAAGCTCAACTTTCACTCCATGCTGAGTTAGAGACAAGTGAAGCAGGGGCTAGGTTCTTAATTTTTTTAAAGGCCATCAATTACCTGAAGGAAAAAATTGTAAAAAAGCAGGACCAGTATCCAACTGGCTGCTTGTGCCAGGCAACTGACTGGCTACAGGGTCTCAGTGAGGAACTGTCTCTCCAGGAGGGAGGGAGGTTATGCTGACCCAGCCACATATTCTGGCTGGGCTTTTGGTCATAACAGAAGTTATTTTCAGGTTTGCTAAGAATATTCTGTGGCCATGAAACCATATGTATGTATGTGCATGCACACACGTGCACACAGCTTCTAAAGCACATAGGTCCTGTGGAAGACACATACCTATGAGACACAAATTCAGAAATTTGTCTGACAGATGTAAGGAGTGTGAGGCCAAGAGGGACAGCCAGTAGATTGGGAAGCTGCCATTTAGTGCATCAGACCTATGGTTCTTCCCGGCTGCGTGGTGCACTCACCTTGGGAGCTTTTATGTCACCAGAGATTCTGACAGTTTGGTCTGAGGTAGAACCCAGACTTGGTGTTTTCAAAGCTCCAGGTGATGCTAATGTGCAATGAGAGCTGGAATCCCCACATTACATTGAGAGGGCTTTGCGCCCTACCAAGGGATGTGTTCCTCCCTGCCAGGATGTGGCTAGCTTAATGACCTTGCACATCCGGAGAGATGCTGTGGGAGGTTAATATTTTTGGGTATGCTTGTGGCTTAAAGAATGCACAAATAAATTGAGGTTGCTGACAGTTTAGGAATATGAAAATAGTTTCGATTTGCTGACCACTTTATTTCACTTCTGCAGGAAAATGACTTTATCGCTGAATGCAGAATATCATAGCTATCCCAAGCTTGGAAGATGTACTGTAGTGTCTTGTTTGTTTTTGCGTGTACTTTCGTTTACAGCACAGTAAACATTCCTTCCTACATCGCTATTTTGTACCACCCTTGCAGATGATGGTGCAAAACTGATGGATGTAACCAGATGCAGGCTTGGCAGTCTAGCTGGTAGAATTCTAATTTCAGTGATCTATGACATTCTCTTAGGATCTAGAAGGTGCCATCTTTGACCAATCCTGGGAAGTATTTACCTGTTTTCATGGTATTGGATCACCTTGTGTCTTGAGATGAGAAGGGAGGACACTGTTGAGATGGCTTTAAAAGCTCTCCCGAGGGCCCCTCCCAGGTAGCAACACATATTTAGATGCCTGGAAGTTTCATTTTGTTTCTAAGTTTCTCCTGTTTTAATCTTTCAGTACACAAGGGTCTGGATCCCTGACCCGGATGAAGTGTGGTGCTCAGCCGAATTAACCAAGGACTACAAGGAGGGAGAAAAGAGCCTCCAGCTCAGACTGGAAGATGAGACTGTAAGTGTGGGTCATGGGGGCGGGGGCGCAGGACTCGGTGGTCCATTGTGGCCTGGAGTGGTCTCTGTAGACTGGAGTTTCTGAACCCCTGATGTCTTTTTTGCTGCTATTAATGATGATGTATGTGAAAACACTAAGCCATGAAAGTGTTCTGTGGCTGTTGCACCACAAATTAGTTCCCATTGGTGTCAGCAGCCGAGAGATGACCAGTGGTGAAGGCAAGACTCTTCTCAGTGGGGTGGAGGGAGCAGGATGGCCCCTCCATGGGGCTGAGGCATCAATGGGAGGTGAGAGGGGAGCTACTCTAAGAGGGTGTGGCACAGCGGCTGGGGCACCAGCTCAGGACTCAGCCTGCCTGGGTGGGGATCCTAGCCCAGCTCTTACTACCTCTGCGCCCTCGGGCATGTCGGCAATCGTTCTGTGCCTGTAACTTCATCTGTGACGTGGGAATGGTGGTCTGTCTAGGGCGCTTTTGAGAATAAAATGAATTTCTATGTGATGTGTACTTAGAGTACTGCTTGGCCCATAAGTACTCAACCTGGGGGAGCTGCTGCATGACAAGTCTTTTTTATTAGTCAACTTTCAGGTGGGTGTTCTCAAAAAGAAGACAAGGGAGTAGCTGTGAAATCCTATTCCCCCTAGAAGGTCTGATTCAGTTTTTGAGTTCACGCCTCTCGGTGATTTATGTATTTCACAGATACTTGAATGCTTGCTCTTGCACTATGCTGGGTGGTGGGTGTGTATAGGTGAACAGTTGCGGCCCTGCCATTTCGAGGAGCCCTCAGTGCTGGAGGGAGCAGTGGACCACCAAGCACAGGAGGTTGGCAAAGGGTCATGACCCATTGAGGTGGGCATGGAGGCAGGTGGGAGCATAAAGGAGGGAAACTGAGGAGGGCCTATGAGGCAGGAGGGTCTTGGCAAGAAGCCAACACTGGTGATTCCGGGTGTGATGGGCTGAGAGTGGAGTGTCCAGGCAGAGGTGGTGGATGCCAAAGCCCTGAGGCCACAGTGTGTCCCCTTTAGGTGTGCTGAAGGAGAGGCCCATGTGCCTGGCCCCTGTTGGGAAAGGGGAAAGATGGGCAGCCTAGGCTGAGGATGCAGCAGAGGTGGTTTGCACAGGATTTACAGGGGGAGACTGGGAGGAAACGGGTGGTCCATGCAGAATTTGCAGGGGGAGACTGGGAGTGAAACAGGTTTTGAATGGAGTAGCAGGAAGAAATGAAGAGCTGGCCCTGGTACTTGAGTCTGAGGGACTGAAGAACAGGCACTGCAGCGGGGAAGGGCTGGAGTGCTCATTGCCTCCCTCAACTGCAGTAGCTGCAAGTTTGCTCCCTGTCCTGTGCTGTCTTGTTCCCTTCAAGCACCTCGGTGTTTATAGATACGACCTTGGGAAATGGACCTGTTACGCTTACATAGTACCTACCAGTGCTGGTGATTAACTGTGATGAGTGGGAGGGTAGACCATCCTGCCCTTACTAACTTCTGATTGGTATCAGCTTGAGCATATCCTAGCACTTGGTAACTAGAACCAGGAGAGCGTTAGTCAGGTAGATGTTTACACCAGGGTGTGTGCATCTCACCTTCCCCCTTCCTGGCAGGTGCACTTTGCCGGCCTCCCCTTGGTTTTGAGCTGAAAAACAGAATTCCCAGTAGATGGGATCATGTTACCGTGTTGAATAACCTCCCACCATAAGCCTGAAACAGGGTGAAATTCGTTCACTCCCTTGAATGGTATATCTTCTGCTCCAACAGATTTTATTTTAGTTGGTCTTTAAAGTGGGTGGGTCTTTTTAAGGAGATGCATGGAGGTAGTGAGGAATGGTCTGCTGTGTTGCTAAAACAGCGCAGATGCTCGCTTCCCCAGCTGAAAAGGAATTCTGCCCTGTGTGACTAATCCTGGCAGCTGCCCACGTGGTCTGTCAGCAGTCACCAGAAGGGATGCCTGGGGCTGCAGATTAGCAGCTCTCAAGAAATAATGGGCCCTGAACATCCAACTGCGTCCCGGTTGCTCAGGGGCTGTGGTTTGTCCACTGCTGGCTCCGAGCCGTCATTAGGAGCCACTCAGCTGAGCTATGGACCAGAGGCAGAACAGAACTTAGATAGCTGGACTCTGAGTGCTTGAAGAGCATCTCTTCTGTAGCCGATACCATTCTTGATATATACCTGGCGGGCTGGAAAATCCCCCCTGGCACTCTCCCAACCCCCAAGCCTAGTAGTGTGGGTTTAACTGCAGCAGCGAAGATGAAAATAAATCTGGTTCTTTTCTAAGCGACAATAATATTCTTAATCTCCGGCTTCTACCTTACTGCTCACCTGTGCACTGTTCAAGGCACTCAAGCTCCTCAGTTGTTTCTTTTTCCCTGCTGCTTCCTTGCTTATTTTTATTGTGGTAAATGTACAAAACATCAAATTTAACATGTTAACCATTTTTAAGCACAGTTGAGTGGCGTAAAAGTGCACCCACAAGGTTTGGTAACCGTTGCTATCTCGGGTCTCCAGAACTCTTTATCTTGCAAAACTAGGGCTCTGTCCCCGTTGAACAACTACAACTACTCCCCATCGCCCTTTCCTGCAGCCCCTGGTCATCTCTAGTCTGCTTTCTGACTTTGATTCCTCTAGGTACCTCACATAAGTGGAATCAGACAACATTTGTCCTATAGTGTCTGGTTCTCTCACTTGGTGCAGGGTAAATGTTCTCTACATAAGCCAACAGGAAGATGGGAAACTTTCTGGGGGAAAAAGCTGTGACAGGTACAGGCTATGTAGGTGTACCAGCCCTTAGTACAGTAGAGTGTTTTTAAACTGCATCAAGCATCTCTGTACTGCAGACCTTGGCTGTAAATGTAACTTTGTCCCTTTGCCTACAGCGGAACTCTCGCAGGCCTGCTCCCCTGCCCCACCTCCTGTACCAGCTGCTGGATTCCTGCCCTCTAGTGGCAGGGAGAACTCCCCCCACCCCCATTTCCAGGGTATGCATTTAAATTTTTTCCAACCTGAGTTTGTATCCAGTGTCCAGTGGCCACCTTCATGGTGAGTACTTGCTACATGTGAGGCCCTGACTTAGTATTCATGAGAAGATGGGAATATGTGAGCTTTGAAAAGAGTAACATGTCTCGGCATATCCAAGCTCTCTAGGGCTTGTGGGGCTAGGGCAAGAGTATAGATGTAAATGTGTATCTGTTTAAATATTAAAAGCATATTTTGTCAAAATTAAGTAAATCTGACATTTCTAATTTTTGAAATTTAAATGTGTAATACTTGAAAAATAGATTTGCAACTCTACTATTCAGTCTCCATCTAGTTGCCAGTATAAAGAACCACTATCTTGCTTTAGGCATGTTATGCGTATACCTATATATAAACAAATTTAAAAGTAATGTGAATTATTCAGTATTGCAAAGTGTTTCTCATGTTGCAGTGGCTGCAAACAATATACTCTCTGGAATCTCAATTAGAACATGGGGAGAAGCAAGCAACTGGACCCTTGGTCTAACTGGGGAACGATACTTCATTACATGAACTTTCTTTGCACTTGTGCTATCTGAAAGAGGTAAAAACGTGCTAATTTGTCTTTGCTTAGTTCCTCCCCAGCTCTGGAACAGTGTCTCTGACTTTGGCAACATCACAGCCTATGAACCTTCAAGGCACCTAGACACAGTTGGCTTATTGCAAAGACATGGGGCAAGAAGTGTGCAGAATCATTTCCCTGGGCCCTTAAGTTATTAGTCACCAGCTTTCAGATATCACTGTGTCAGCACTGATCCCAAGTGACAGAGTCCCATTGTTCTTTAATAAGCTTATAACTTACGCTTGTGATATTGGGACCTTTTAAGATGCAGGGCTCAGGTCTAAAGATGGTACCAGGCCTACCAACGATAGCATAGGGAAGAGATAGCAAACATGGTTCTTCAGGTCAAGAAGCAAGAGTCTCACTAAAGAAGTAGGACTGCTGTCCTTGCACATGGGTACACTCAGACCCATGCCCCTGTAGAATGCCCACAGAGCTCTGGCAAACCCAGTGCAGAGTAAATGCCGGCTATGTGACATTTGGTAATCTACGGTACCAGTAAAGCAGCTTAGTGCAGATGAGTTTGATTGCTTTTTTCTTTTTGTTTCACTAGTTATTTCTGTTCTTATTTCAATATTGGCTCATGGGTTACCTAGTAATTTTTTTAATCTTTATTTTGCTCTCAATTGACTGACAAGAAAAATACGGAGAAGTCAATATTTATCTTTTGTACATATGCAAAAAACATTTTCTTAAAGTTATGGCATAACATTGCATATAAAATCTGGTAATTACTACCTTGACCAGTTTTAAGCATACAGTGTAGTGGCACTGAGCACGTTCACACTGCTGTGCAGTCAGCACTGCTGCCCAGCTCCAGAGGTATCTCCATCTGCTTACTGTCATTGACCTCTGCCCCTGCTGTTGTCATGACCTTTTCCATCAGGATATTTTGCCTAGCTGCATCTGCTTAGAAAAGGGCATGGCAGTGATTGTTTTTTGCTCCCAAGAGACATTTAGCAATGTGTAGGCACATTTTTGGCTGTGATGACTGAAGAGAGGTTTGCTACTTGGATGTAGTGGCTAGAGGGCAAGGATGCTGCTAAACATCCCATAATGTGCAGCCTCTTTTCCCTTTGACCCTGTCCGTTCAAAGAGAATTGTCCAGTCCTAAATGAAAACAATGCCAAGGTTAAGAAGCCCACCTTTATGCCTGTAATATAGGAAATGGTCTGAACTATTTATTGCTAAAAGACAGCAAGTCAAAAGCTAAGCTGGAACACCCACGATGGTGGCAGAATGTGTAAACTGTGTTCCTTCAATGTCGTGAAATCAAAGGTTAACTTTGACTCCCTATTTTTACACTGCTATAATTTGTTTATGATTCAAATGTCTGTTTCCATTTATGTCATTCTTCCTTTAATTGCATCACCATTCATTCATTAAAAAGCGTTATTGAACAGTTATTACATGCCAGGGTCTGGTTATACAGCAGTGAAAATGGCATGTCTCTACTTCTGGAGTTTTCATTCTAATTTACAATGAATGTAATACATATTGCAGACAGAGGATTTAGAATGTGAAAAGTTGAAGGCCAAGAGGCTTGAGAAGTCTATCAGAAACATGGTGAGATACTTGACTGTACCCCACCACACCCTCCCTCTCTCTAATCTCCAACCCCATACTCTTTTTGAAACCTCCTTGGGCACCTGCCTCTGATGCTTGCCGACTTCCCAAAGCAAGAACATGTACCGTGGCAGAGATGGTAACCACAGGCCCCCCTTCAGTTAGCTGGAACCCCATGATTTTACTTTTGCCCAGAGAGCTCTTGGTAGAATTGACGGATGTCACTTCTAGGCCGAAGCATAGAAAAGCTGCCTGGAGTTCGCCATGCTCTGCTCTTCCTCTTCTGGTGACTGGAAGCGGTGTGTTGATGGCTGAGGGACCTGTGGAACAGAGCTTCCAGACCAACCAGCCTTGACACCCAGCATGAGTAAGAGAGAAACGTTCATGGTATTAAGCCACCATGGTTTCAGGCTTAATTTATTTCCTAATAACTAACCATATCCTATTTAAGAAGTGCATATGAATCAGGGGATTTCATTTTTCGGGTAATTAGGTATCTGCTCTGAGCTTCAAGCCTGTGCTTAGTATGAGGGGGAGAATAAGAAGGTTCCTTTGAAGAAGCATGACCTTTTCGGGGACTAGAGAAGGAGGTAGACTTAACCAAAAGTGTTACAGAGTAAGACACAGGACACTTAATACATATTTGTACTTTTTGTACTTGTTTAGGACATAATGTAAAACAGCTTTTTAATACCTATTAAATGAATTGAGTCACACACTTGCTACTCCAGTGAGTACAAGTGGTTTCAAGCTTTGAAGTCTTCTGTTACCCGGAAATGTAGTTCCTTTCACTTTGCAGGATCCTGTTCTTAATTTCACAAGAGAACACCCTTACAACCACCGAGCAAAGTTAAATACTTAAGGCCAGCAGCACTGGAAGGGGTGCTCAAAGACTGTTGGAACTGGTCCTCTCATCTTACAATTAAGGAAACTGCTGTCTACGGTCATGAAGGGATGGGCTCAAGGCCTCAGCTCCTCAGGTTCGGCTGCACATCAGAAACCCCTGGGGATCTTAAAAAAAATCACAGCCCAGGTGGCAGCCCAGACAGCTTATGTCAGAAATTGAGGCTGGACCACAGCAGAGTATCTTGAAGCTCCCCACAGGATTCCCAAGTACAGGAAAAGTTGAGCCACTGCTTTAGTCGATGGCCAGAACTTGAATATAGGATTTGATTCCTAGTTGAGTGCCATTTCCACCAGAGTATGATGCATGCAGCTCCTCAGGGTCAGTACCCCACTTTTACTAGCTTAGATTTTCTAGTTCGTGGGTAGATAAGAAAGCCAAATCATTTGCCATATATGTTTATTATCAGCTCCAAATCTTTGTGTTGGTAGTTGTCATGTTTATTCTCCAGCTGTAGTTCCATGTATCACGGACACATTGAAGATGGGAAAGGCCATGCGTAAGTCAGACATACCATTCAACTAGTATTTTTTGAGTATGTGCCAAGTATTATAAAATTATAGACCCACAGAGTTCAGGGCAATCTAGACCAATGCTCCCCAACAGAACATTTTGCTACCGTGGGCTGTTCTCTATCTGTATCGACCAGTATGGTGGTCACTGGCTCCAGGTAGCTAGTAGGCCCTTGAAACGTGGCTAATGTGGCTGAGAAACTGAAGTTTAATTGTATTTAAAGAATTTAAATAGCTCCATGTGCTTCTCTGTTGGAGACTGCAGGAATAGACTAATCTCTTACCCTATTTCTCCGTCTAGTCTCAAGTGTTGTCTAGACCCAGATGGTAGGTGGGGACAAATTAGAGATACCCATACATTCCAGGTCTTGGGTGGAGGCCACTCCAGGTGGGTGACTGAGTATTAATTTTGTGATGAATGTTAACATTCACCCTCTTCACTTCCAAAGGCTCACTTCTTATGTAGTGAAGTCTTTTATGGCAGAAAATTCATGGTCCCAGATCACATCATAAATGCTTAAATTTCAAATAAAACCATGTTAGCTTTAAATGTCCAACAGTAGCAGCAGTTTTAGAATCAAATTCCTTTTAAAGGCAAAAAAAAAAATATCTGTTGTTTCTCATTTCCTCCTTCCCTCCAGATGTGCACACACCAGGACATCTGTAGCTTTGTTCAGCTGGCAGCTCCTACCTCTTCTGCTCTGGGCATTTTTAATCCTTATCCATTTTACTGTAACCAATACCCCTGGCTTACTTGTGAACTGTATTTTCACAACATTGCTTATGCTTTTATCTCTGTGCATTTGGGGAGAGGCGAGTCTTTTGAGGGGAGATTCATCTGAGAAAAGATGGAACGCCAGCATTTCTGCCTGAGAGTTTAAAGACCCTGGCTCAGGTCCTGGCTTTCTGATCTGGAAACTGAGGGGTCGGGTTGGTCGAGCTGTGCGGTTATGCACTGGCTGTCCCCTGTGCTGCTTACCAGGGTGGGCGGAGAGCCACGTGGGAGACGCCCTGCTGCGGGGGAGGCACATCTCCAGGGGAAGTCTGCAGAAAGGCTTGGTGGTTGTTGGGGGTGAGAGGGCTGCTTAGAGTTCAGTGACCACTAGTAGCCAGAGATGATTGGGGCCGTCAACTCTACCACTTAAACAAACCCAGCTCTCCATTACCCCTTGTTTCCAACCACTTAGAAATTTTCTGTATCATGTTCATGATAGTTGTTGACCAGTCTTCTGTATGTAGTGGGTTGGGTGTAAGAGTTTTTCACAAGAGGAAAGTGTCTTGATTAATATAAAATAGAACCAAAAACCAGATACTGTATGAAGAAGAAAACCTCACTAACACAGATAACTGTTCATGTTTTGTGTCAAGGTCATTCCAGAAAAACTTCAATACTGCTTTAAATAAAAGGAATCCTATCATATATTTCATTTTGGAACATGCCTTTATGTAAATTCAGTAGAATGGTGTGGGCAGCTGCCTGATGTTGAAGTACAGGTCTAGGTCATGTTTTACTTTAGAGTTTCAGGGCGCCAACCTTTTCTTATTTGTAAGGTTGTCTCCTTAGGCCAAAGAATATGCTATTCCTTGAAAATTTCTGACTAGGGAAAAACTCTAGGTGTTCTCAGCTGCCCTCCAGAGAGGTTAAATCAATCCGATCCCACACGTAGTGGATCTGTTTGCCCACACCCTTCCTAGTTACGGTCTTGTCAGTATACCTTTGCTTATCTGATGGATAATAGTGCTCATTTTATTTGCATGTGTTTGGTTAGTGGTCAAGTTGAATAGCTGTTCATATGCTGTAGTTCTTATTTAGTGACATATTCTGTGTACAATTTTCTGTTGGGGCATTAGTGTTTTCTTAAAACTCTTTGGATATTATTCTGTTATATAATGTGAATTACTCACTTTGCTCTGCATATGATGTGTTTGTATGATGGTTTAAAATTCTGTATTAAAAATACATATTCCTGCCTAATTCTGGCTTTTGCATCCTTTGAAGTACTCCATTCCAAAACTTTCACAGATTCATGGCCACATTTCTTTCCTGGTTTTGTTTTTCTTTCTGGCTTTATTTTGGACATTGAGGGAGTAAGAATAGAAGAACACTGGCTCAATTTTATTTTCCTAAATGGCTTCAAGCTTACCTCCCACTTTTTGAAAGAAATCCTTTTAACCATTTATTTACTACTTTGACATTATGAACAAATTTGCCATATGTGCTTGCATTTGTTTCTGGATCTGGTGCCATTTTGGCACCATTATTGTAGTACTTAAATTGCTGGCTTTAATAATATACTTTAAGATCTAGTAGTAAAAGTCCCTCTAAAAGTGGGAAAGGAGAAAGCACTGGTATTCATATTCACTTAAAAATTAACTGTTATCCCAGTAAATTGAGGCTATGTCTATAGAAATTCCTGAAAGGCTTGTATAATGATTCTTATGTCTGTAGGCCACCTGTATCAGAACTACTTTAGGGATTATTTTTTTTAGTTTTAGTTTCCTGGGTCCCAGCCTAGAGCTCCTGAACATGAGTTGTTTGGGAAATATTTTTCCCAAGCTCTCAGATGATTCTTAAGAATGTCATAGAAACTTAACACTCAGATAAAACATAAGCAGCAGCCAAGTTCCTTCTGTTAAGAAAAAAACAAACTTTTTATTAATTACATGTATATGTGTGTACATTTATTCATTTGCAAATATATCCTGTAAAATATCTTTTTTTGAGTACTTTTGTATTCCAAGTGCTCTAAGAATAAAGGATAACACCTTGCATTTGAGATTTGACCTTAAGATGTATAATCACACTCTGGTCACACATGTGCACACAGGGATCTCAAGCTCCTATTACGCTTTAGGACAATAAAATTATGCCCTAGAGTAGCTGGCAGTCAGGTTGCACAAAAATACATGTACACCTTGAGGGCAGTTTGTTCATTGCAAGATGATCCAAATGAAAAGTGAGTATGTGAATTGGTGGGAGAGTAAAAACTAACCATAAATAGGGCAAACAAAGGGTTCCTTGATGGGAGAAAGAACTGCACTCCTACAGCAACTCAAATTAAAGACTTTTACCTTGATACACTGGGATTATGTTATCAGCAATTTTTCTACCTGGGCTGGTCTCTAATGGCAGAGTTTTTTTTTTTTTTTTCCCAGTTTGCACTTCTTTAAAACGTTATTTGTCTTAATCACTTCTGATCATGTTAGGATAGTGATCCTAGCCAACAAGGCGTGACATTGAATACAGCCTAAATGCTTCATACCTCTGCCTATTTGTCTATTCCTTGCAATTCTTTAGATTCGGGAATACCCCATTGATGTCCAAAGCAACCAACTGCCTTTCTTGCGGAATCCAGATATCTTGGTTGGAGAAAATGACCTGACTGCCCTTAGCTATCTACACGAGCCTGCAGTTCTGCATAATTTAAAGGTCCGTTTCCTGGAGTCGAACCATATCTACACTTACTGTGGTAAGTTGGGGGCTGAGGGGGGGGGCAATCTATTGGCTGCATGTTTGAAAGTGCTGATAATCTTTAGACTTGCCATGTTAAACTTCAGTGGTTAAAAATCCCATTTTCATTCTTATAAGTACCTCTCATCTGAGACCCTTGAAAGGTTTGCAGTGTATGTGGCTTAATTAGGCTGCCCTGCGTCTCTGTGGGCTGATTGGTATTAAGGCTCAACCAGGGAAGAAATGGGCCACAGCTTGCAGCTTGACTGGCTAAGGTGCAGTCCTGGGGCCAGTAGGAGAGCAGTAAATACACGCCAGTGCCCCAGCTCGGGCATCTGCCTTCACCACCAAGCACACTCCTGTAAATGTATACTTGGCTTGTTTTTCCCTCCTTAAAAAAGGACTGGCCTTCTCTCTGATCCTCTCTTGCTCATGTACAAACATGAATACTGAACTCAGGAGCAGAAGCCACTGACAAATGCTTGAAACAAAAAGTCTTAGAATTCTCTCTTGGGATTGTCCTGAAATTTGTTCCCCACACGTCAAATTGTGGTTTCTCTTTTTTAGAGTATTGTTAAGTGGTATGATAAAAACAAAAGCACTATAAGCTGTTGATTGAAGGGCAAACCAATTTATCATCTGGTTGAGGAGTCAGGCCGAGGGCTTTGGGGGGCTGTCCCCGGGTCATGCCTCAGAGCTCTGGTCTTGCTGTAGTCAGAGGGGGTAGCCTCAGGGTCGGGTTATTTCCTCGGTGACACTCCACTTTGGTTTGGAATTGGCTGGCTGGCCACGAAGGTAGGGTGAGTTTCCTGCCAGATTTTAGTACTTGAGGGGTGCTTTGCCAAAGCTCCTTCACCTCACCTAGTGGGAATTTTATTTGGAAGAAACCATCAATTATCTGAGCCCTTCAATAAGTTCGTTTTTTCCAACAAGATTTTTTAAAAATCTCCCTTTTTCGAAGAAAGGGGTAAATGATCAGCTTCACTTTTTAAAGGCACCCCCTCTGGAGGGGTCATGGTGTCTCTCCAACATGCCCCGCGGCTCCTCTGTTCGAGCTGTAACTGCTGTAGCTCCAAATGACTGTAGCTCCGAATCTTAAGTCATCAAGAGCATGCAGCTCTGCTCTGGAAGGACTGAGACCTTTTGGGAAAACGTGTTGACCTCAGAAACACGGTATCAAAAATTGAATTTAATGCTACAAAAAGTAGGGTGTTTTTTTTTTTTACAGCTCTAACAACGAGTAGAACATGTGAGGCTGTATTTAAGGCCAGAAACTTGGAGAATTCTCTTAAGTGGAGTTTACCAGAGTTCTGGGCCTTATTTTTCAGTCCAGATTGTCTTGTCAGGCAAACCTCCATCTGAAGAGGATAACTGAGTGTCTTTTTCCTCCCTTGGCCCTGTCCCTTTGCTTGGAATAATCTGGTTGAGAACATTTCAGGTTTTCTGTCTCTCTTTCTCTGTCTGGTTTCCACCCCCCACCCTCCCCACTTTCAATAGACTTTACTTTTTTAAGCAATTTTAGGTTCATAACAAAATTGAATAGAAGGTAAAGAGATTTGCCGTATACCCACCTCCCCACTAGCCTCACCCACTGTCAACCTTCTACTCAGGAGTGGCACATTTGTTAGAACTGATGAACCCACAATAACGCATCATTGTCAGCCAGTGTCCATAGTTTGCATTAAGGTTGGTCACCCTTAGTGGTGTTTGACATTCCTTGGGTTTGGGTAAATGTCTAATGACAGGTATTGACCATATTATGGTATCATAACAGTGGTTTCACTGCCCTAAAAACATCCCGTTTGCTCTGCCTATTCATCCCTCTCTCCTCCAAACTCCTGGCAACCTCTGCCTTTTACAGCGTCTCTAAAAGTTTGCCTTTTGCAGCATCTTGTGGTTGGATTTATAGTATGAGGCCTTTTCAGACTGGCTTCTTCTAGTTAGTAGTTTGCATTTAAGGTTCCTCCATATCTTTTCATATCTTGATAAATCATTTTTTTTGTGACACTAGTATTCCATTGTCTGGATATACCACAGTTTATGCACATACCTATTAAAGCACATCTTAATTGCTTCTAAGTTTTGGCAATTGTGAAGAAAGCTGTTATAAACACGTAAGTGCAGGTTTTGTGGGTATATTTTCAACTCCTTTGGATAGATACCAGGGAGTATGAATCATATAGTCAGAGTATGTTTAGTTTTGTAAGAAACTGCCAAAGTGACTGTGCATTTTGCATTCCCCCTAGCAATAGACTCTACATTTTAAAGAAATTTTGGGTTCACAGCAAACAGTAAATGTCTTTACTGGATTGCTAGAGATTTACTTTGAGATTACTGGAAGGTAACGAGTTTGTTTTTCCACATCCCCGTTAGCATTTGGTGTTATCAATGTTCTGCATTTTGGCGATACTAGTTTGTGTGTAATGGCCACTCATTAATGTTTTAATTTGCATTTCCCTAATGATATGTGATGCAAAGCATCTTTTCAGATGCTCATTTGCCATCTGGATAGTTCTTCTTTGGTGAGGTGTCTGTTTAGGTCTTTTGCCCACGTTTTAATTGGGAGGTTCATTTCCTTAACTAGTTTCAAGAGTTCTTCATTTTGGATAGTAGTTCTTATCAGATGTTTTTACAACTATTTCTCCCCGTCTGTGGTTTGGCTTATCATCCTCTTGATGGTGAGTCTTTTCAAACACCAAAAGGATATACAGTGCAGGAGATCTCCGAATTTGACAATGACCCTTTCCTGCCATTTGTTCCCCAAATGGCTAGAAAAGCTCACATTTTTGTACCTTTGTCTGGATCCTCTTGAAATCCAGAACATGCTCTTATGTGAAAGAAAAATGCATGAATTTCTGTCTTACACTGAATATTGAATTTTCTTTTTCTTTTCCCATTCTCAAATATTAATTTGCCTTGCTTTTCCATGAAAGATGCTGACTCCTCATTTAACATGTACATTTATTGAGTCCATCATTTTGCAGTGCATCTTTTTTGAGATATAAGATGAAAAAAAGTGAAATGAAAAATTATACATGATATAATGTAATGTGAGGTAATAAACAAGAGCCAGCATTCAGTGCTTACTGTGCAAGGTGATGATGTAGTGTTCTTTCTCAATCGTTTTATTTTCAGGATAACCAGGTAAATGCAATTATTTGCATTGACAATCCAGCAAACTGAGGCACTTAGAGGTTAAAATATTTGCAACACAGTTAATAATTGAGTCAAGATTTGACCTTAAAATGTGTAAATCATACTCATTGTCCACAAGCTGTTATTTAGGTAAGCCATACACAAATGAAAAATTAATAGTCCCGTTCCTTGATGTTAATTCTGAGATGGCTTTTGAGGCCTAACACCTGTTGGTAGAGTTGAGCATCCTCTTCTCTCTACTCCTGCAACACTTAGCACATGTCTATTTGATGAACTCAATTTATGGAGCATTTGTGTGTGTTTATAGGTGCTTATTCCATGCTCTAGGGTACTTAGTGGCCTAACCTGTCATTCTTTTCTCCAGGGCCTAGTTTAGTGCCTGGTAAACACAGAGGAGTCTTGATTTAGTGGAGTGATTGGTTAGGATTCACTGTGTAACTCTCTCGTTCTTTAGTTTTGATGTATATGAACAGGGGCCCTGAAGCTGAGGCCAGGTGCCCATCCTGCTGCAGAATCTGACTGCATTGTCTGTTTGCAGGAATCGTGCTTGTTGCCATTAATCCTTACGAACAGTTGCCAATCTATGGTCAAGATGTTATCTATGCCTACAGTGGCCAAAACATGGGGGATATGGACCCCCACATCTTTGCAGTGGCGGATGAAGCCTACAAGCAGATGGCCAGGTAAGAATCACCTCAGCCCAGAAGTCTCCCTCGGTAGGCAGTTGGGGGGCAGAAAATGGAGTTTGTGCCCACCTTGGGTGATTTTGCTCAATGGTGGAATGGTGGTTCTGGGATTGAGACAAAGCCTTGAAAACAAAATGAGCCCAGGTTGTGCTTTTTAACATATTTCCTTGTGTCGTCATCTTATGAACCTGCACCTAGGAGAGCAGTGTCTCCTTAGCCTGACTTCATATTTGGAGCAATGAAGTAAATGAATGCCTTGGATTTCATCTCCCTTTGACTTCCTTTTGTCCCCTTTCCTCCCCTCCTGGTGTGATGAAACCATTTTTTAGCATCACCATTCATTTTACCGTTCTCATTGAAGGCTCCCTTCTGAAGGAACCAGGACTCCTTGATACCTTCTTGAGATGCCGAGCATTTAGGGCAGAAATAGGAACTTCAAATTAGCTGCCATGCATTGTTGTTTGGAGTTTTTAACCTGGAAGTAGAATTTTGTTCAGGGATTTTAGTAGATCCACTCATTTTTGGTCTTTTTTAGCTTTAAAAGAGAGGTGCAGGTCAGTTTCATCAGAAAATGGGCTAGGTAGTTGTATAAAGGTCCTCCAGGGAAAGGTCCACCTGTGGGGGTGGGGAGTGTGTGTGTATGGAGGGTAGAGGGGGGGTTATTTTAAGGAATTGGCTTACAGTTGTGGAGGCTTGGAAAAATCCAAAATTTGCAGGGCAGGCTCTAGGCTGGAGACCCACAGAAGAGTTGATGCTGTGTTTCAGTTGTGAAGGCATTCTGCTGTCATAATTCTCTTTTCTTTGGGGAAGGTCAAATTTTTTCCTCTTAGACCTTCACCTGATTGGGTAAGGCCCACCCACAATGTGAAGAGTAATCTGTTTTACTGACAGTCTAATTTAAATGTTAGGCTCACCTAAAAACACCCTCACCAGCATTATCTTGACTAGTGTTTGACCAAGTATCTGGGTACCATGGCCTAGCCAAGTTGACACGTAAAGTTAATAACTATAGTGATTGTCTTGAACTACTTAGGCATAACATACAGAATTTTACCAAAGCTTTGGTGGAAAAGCATATTCCTGTTAAGACTAAAATGCTGAATCCTTTCAGCCACATCTTTCTTGCCACCTCTAGAAAACACGTTATGGAGTCTGTAGCAAATGTAGGAAAGCGTTTTATAGGGAGGGAAGCTGCTTAGGCTAATTCAGTGAGAAGAGAATTCCGTTTAAGATGGTTTGTTACTTCAGTGGATTTCAGAGCATAATTTTCAGCCCAGTGAAAGTTTCCATGAAGGAAGGCTGTTCTATAGACTTTCCCACTGATTTATAATATTGCTGGCTGTGAAGATCAATATTTAAAAAGTCTGCTTCCTTAAAGATAGACAATGGCTGTATTCAAAACAAGCAGTGACTGGAGAACTGAGTGATTTAATAAAAGAAATGATCTATAATCTGTTTCTCCAAAATGTGGTAAGAAACTGTAGAAGTACGGTGGTTGTAATCTGTGATCTCACTTACACTGTTAGAAAGACCACACACTTTGTTAATTTGCTTTGGAGCTTCAGACTGGGAATCACTTAGCTTGGTAACTTACTGATCCAAACCTCCTAATTGTAGTTCACAAGGACAGGTCACGTGGCAGGAAGGATGCATGTTAGTGCATTACTGCACACAGCCCTGCCCATGTACTACTGTTTGTGGTCAAGCATATGGCACAGTAGAGAGATGTGGGGTCTGGAAAGGCTTCCATGCCTTTGGAGAATCACTTAAGCCAAGTCCTGATTTGCTTCATATGGAGACAACTATCCCTCTTTTGGAGGCTGGCTTTTTTATGGTTCTAAAACAAGGTGAGTGTGTCTTGGTTCTGAAGAGAGACTGCTGTGCCAAAAATTCTGGCATGTCCTTCCATAGGTATCACTGATATGGGATTATTTTGTTTTGTTTTTTCCATCACATTCTTCTCTCTTAGCTAATTGCACCTAGATGTATTGGAAATTGCTATTGTTTATTAGACTTCTTGAGAATCTTTATCCACATCATAAATGCTCTTGACCAGATGCCTCCTTTCTTCCCTTCCATTCCTGAAGCTGGGCTTGTGGCAATTCTACAGTTTTACTTGTTTGGGGCCTTGTTCATACCCATTAGATGGAAAAGGATGTGCGTGTCCCGGGTGGTGGTGATTCAGTCTCCCCTAGAATAAATCATTTAACAGTTAAAGGGGTTTGGATGTTGAAGTTGGACCAGGAATTGCTTCCTGAAGGGTTTTTTTTTTTAAGATTTTAAGGTTTATACTTATTTTACCCACTGAGTCCAAATATTTTTGTAGGTGTAGCCAAAATTTTGCTGAAATTCTGATGCAGTTTTTGCTCATGAACATTCATTAGAAGCATGAGACCAGCACGTGCTGTAGGAGAGCTATTTTTGAACGTTCATTTGTCAGCAGCCCAGGGTTTGTTATTGATCTGAGAGGCACATTAGAAGCTCCAGCAGAATCTTTGTCATGTAGAGAATAAGGAGCCCCATTGGTCAGAGGCAAGGAAAGTTTTGCTGTATTGCTAGAGCAGGCTGCCTCTGTCCGTTTAGAATTCTTGAACAAATTCCTTTAACAGTATTTGCCACCTGTGAGGTGTGCTCTTCCTGTCTCATCAGTAGCTGAGATAATTGTGATTCAAGTAGCCATAGCCTTGCACAGTGTGAGTCTGAGCCTGCAATAGCTGGGTGAAATAAAGGGTCTAAGAAACTTAATGACTTCAGTATTTGGAGACTATGACTCAGTTGGCCTTGAGCTCAGTATTCTGTCTCTTGATTCACTGGGAACTGTTTTTTTTTTCCTTGATGTAGCTCACACAGGGATTTTCCATCTCTTGGTGCTGTGAGTGGGTGAGAGGATGTTGTCAAAGCTCAAAGGGATACAGACGTCCATCCCCAGAGTGCCCACTGTGGTTTACTGCCCACATCCCTGTTCAGTTCCCCAAGGCTGGATTTGAGAGTACCTGGAGAGTTCCAGTGAAGAAAAAGGTTAAAGTAGTGTAAAACATCGAATTCATGCATTCTGTCCCCTGCAAAAGAACCTACAGTTCCCTGTAAGAAAGGGAACTGACCTCCCTGCTTACTTCCTTTCCTCCTCCCTCCCAGTCTGGGATCCAAAATGCCCTGTTTCATTTTTACCCGACCCCAGCCTCAGCTCCTGTGTTAAACCGTATCATGGAACATTCCTGAAGTGTCTGTTATCTGGTAGGTTACTTACTGACTGGACACTAAGAAATGTAAGACTTCTTAAGTTCATAATCTGGCTGGAGAGAGAAGACACTGTAGGCCAAATACTCTATAACCATGTAAAGAGAGGCCGTATGTGGGATCATTTTAATTGAGTTTGGAGTCATGTTTGTCACAAATGGTTGAGAAAACTGTAGGATTTACACTGGATCTTGATGAAGGGTAGGACACATGTAGTGAGAAGCATCTCGGTGAGTGAAAGAGTGAGCATAACTTCGGAAGTGGGACATCAAAAGGCGTGGTCAGGAAACTACAGTGACATACTGATTCTTACCCCCAAGGCTGTCTGTAATTGAAAGGACAAGTGTTGGCAAGGATGTGGAGAAACTAGAATGCTTATACACTGCTAGTGGGAATGAAAGATGATGCAGCTGCTTTATAAAGTAGTCTGGCAGTTCTTCATGGGCATGGTCACCTTGAAAGCCAGACCTGAGCACATATTCTGTGATTCCATTTATATGAAATGTCCAGAATAGGCAGATCTCTAGTGAGAAATAGACTAGTATTTCCCTGGGATGGGAGGTTTGAGGGGAAATGGAAGTGATTGCTGATGGGTATGTATGTTTTTGGGGTGGGGAGAGTGATGAAAATGTTCTAAAATTGATGAGTGCACAGCTTGCAAATGTACTAAAAGGCACTGCACTGTGTACTTAAAATGGGAGAATGTGTGGTCTGTGGATTACATCTCAAAGCTATTATGAGTAAAAGGCATGGTCATGCTACCGCTCCCAGGAATGTTGAACCTATGTGATGAGTGAGTCTGTAGGGCAGCTGTGGACTGTGCAGTGAGACAGGGTGGGACCAGACTGGCAGCCTGGGAAGGCTGAGGTGAACTTTGGGAGAAGAGTGTGTTCTATTGACAGAGAACAAAGCTAGTCAAATGAGTTCAGAAAGCCCTGGATTAATCAAATGAAACATCTTCCTTTAAGCCTGGGCTTCTCAGAGCAGTTTTGTTCCATGCAGTCTTAGTCTCCAAGCTGGGGATGTGTTATGCTGGGCTTGCAAATTGTATTTAGACACACAACTGCTTTTAAGGATTTCTCAAGGGACTGATGTTCTGTGCCCCACTCTTTGGGAAATGCTGATCTAGAGCAAGGAGACATTATAGAGCTTGTTAGGCAGGGAGATGATATGATACAAGGATGGTCAGAGAAAAATTTTTCTCTGGTGGGCCTGATTTCATAATCTTTTCCTTCCCCTATTCTTATACTATTTCCAAGGATAAGAACACCTTGTGAAAAGCTTAGATTCTTGTGGAAATAACTTATCTGTTGTTAACAATCTCTATATAATAAATAAGAAGTGATTATGAAGTGTGAGACTGTGGCATGGTATGATCTATTTCTTAAATCACCAGCACTTTACCCTAGGGAATTTGATTGGTGTTCAAGGAAGAATAGAATCAGCACATTAATATGTTTAGTTCTTACAGCTGCCAAGTGAGATGAGCTCTCCCCACCATGCAGCTGAGGACAGAGACTTAAGGATGTTAAACAATTCTCCGAGGTCATGAAGATAATAAATGGATGCAGTGGAAGATCCAGTCTGTTTGCTCCAAAGCCCCTGCATTAGCCGAGAAAAGTTACTACCCCACCTCGATGGTGCCTACTGGCTGGTCCAGATAGTCTTTCCAGAACAGCAGGCTCTGATCCTCAGGGTCCTGTGAGGGCCAGAAGATAGACCTTTCACCTTAATGGTTCAAAAGTGTCTAATTCTACAGT